GTGTCTTTTTTATATGATCTCTTATGCTTCTGGGCATCCTTTTTTCTGCTATTCTTCGTTCCTTAGCTACACGTGGTGCTTCATGGCTATAATGCATTGTCATAGATGCATTCATTTCTCATTCGAGCTTCAGCCCCACTTCTTTCCAGAGAATCTTTACAGGCATCTGTTAGGCTGAAGGACATCTAATGTCTTAATGTGTAGCTTGGTAAACCAGTCAGCTTCCTATCTGAGTCTTAAGAGAAAGTGCCCAAGATGAGAAACGGTACAGGTTTGGTGACAAGTCAATGAGAAAAAGATAAGAATTTTACAAGGAAGGAGGTAGCTTAGTGATTTTGCTAAAGAAGTAGATAAACCTTCACTTATAATAAAGGGGTAAGGCTCAGTTAAGATTTGTGAAGTCTCCCCTTGGGAAGGCAGACCCTGAAACATTTGAGTCTTTTAAAAAAGGAAAATAAGAGTCTTTTAAATAAATTTTTAAAATTTATTTTATGTATTTTTTAGAGACAGACTCTCACTCTGTCTCCCAGGCTGGAATGCAGTGGTGCATTCATAGCTCATTGCAGCCTTGAATGCCTGGGCTTAAGCGGTCCTTCTGTCCCAGCCTCCTGAGTAGCTGGGACTGCAGGCATGAGCCAATGTGCCCAGTGAGAGACATTCATTTTGGTTCTATGATAATACAGAAAAACAAAGGGCCTTTGAGGCTGAGGGAACAGAAGAAGGATGGACTTAGTCATGGTATAGGCACTTTCTACTAAAGAGCTGTGAGGCTAAAAATGCCAGGTCTATGACAGGTGCAGTGGGCCAAGGCCAGGTAGAGAGCAGCAGGAAGAGATAAGGTGGGGACCTGTACCTAGGCCTATCCGCTGGGACTGATCTAGCCATAGGTACTCAGAGAAGCCCAGGTTGGTGGCTGACCCACTCTTATGGCCAGGTTTGAGCCCAGACATGGACACCTCCCAGTCTGTTCCTTCCTGCTGTCCATGGTTGGGCTGTGTTAGTCTGTATTCTGAGGACACAGCTCTCTGTCTAGAGGAAGTTATGGTATCTTGGTCTGATGGATACTCAATGTGAATATTATTTCAGCGTGCCACAGGGTCTTGGAGCCCAGAGGAAGATGGCACTTGCCTTTTAGCTTGATCTAGTTTACATATATATATATATATATATATATATATATATTTTAAATAACATTTTGAGAGTCTTTATGGAGTAAGTCTGGGCCAAAATGATAATTGACAACACTATTTACGTGGATTTCTAAGTTGGCTAAAAAAGTTGCTTTATGGGTAGTCAATGCAGCCCGTGTGGTTTCCCCATCTTCTTTAGATGCCTTCTATTTCCATGCCCAAAGTCTGCAGTTGATTTTCAGTAAGCTGGGGGTCATCTTAGAGATAAAATGTAGATGAATGGCATTTTGCTGACAGCATACATCTTTGCTATTTCTGAGGAAAATGGGCTCTCGCTGTTAAATCTTTTGCCAATATTTATGAAAATAATATTTACATATTCTACCTCCATTGTGAAAACTATAAATTTATGATTCAGTCATTGATTAATTTATTTGATATCAATATTGTTCAGTCCCTATTCCAAGTGAGGCACTATGCTCTAAGCATATGGCATTTTAAAGATGAATAAGACACAAGGAACTTTGCAGGTAGTAATGGAAATGAGAATTAATCAATTGAAGATTAATATAGTAAGTAGCAGAAGAGAAGTAAAAAAATCCTTCTAGAGAGTTCAGAACAGGGATGTTAATTCAAGTTTATGCGGATTAGGAGTGGCTGGTAAGAGAGGTTTTCAGACAAAAGGTGACATAAAAATGCAGTATTCCCCTCACACTCATAAGGAAGGCTACTAAATTAGAACAAGAAGAGAGTAAGTATTGGAGAGGATATAGAGCAAATAGAAACCTTATGCCTTGTTGATGAGAAAGTAAAATGGTGCCGCCACTGTGGGAACACTGGTGGTTCCTCAAAAAATCAAAATAGAATTATCATATGATCCAGTAAGTCTACTTCTGGATATATATCTAAAAGAATTAAAAATCTGGGTCTTAAAGAAATATTTTTATACCCATAGTTATAGCAACATTATTCACAATAGCGAAAAAGTAGAAACAATCCAGATGCCTCTAGATGGATGAACGGATAAACAATCTGTGTAGTATATACAGACAATGGCATATTAGTCACTTCATGGACCTTCAGGACATTATCCTAATTGAAATATGCCAGACACAAAAAGCAAAAGTAGGGTTCTACTTAATGAGGTATCTAGAATTGCCAGATTCACAGAGAACAAAAGTAGAAGGAGACAGGGGAAGGAGAAAATGGGGAATTACTGTTTAATGGGTATGGAGTTTCAGTTTTGTGAAATGAAAGTGTTCTGAAGATTGGTTGCATGATGATGTGAGTATATCTAACACGATTGAATTGATGAACACTTAGACGTGGTTATGATGGTAAATTTTGTGTTATATATATCTTACCACGATTTAAAAAATATAGCATTTTATTATGTAGGGCTGAGTGGGAAGATACTTGACACATTGGAACTTCTGGCCATGCATATACTGTTGACTCACTCATTCCTTCATTCCTTCAACAAACGTATTGAATGCTTGCTATGTGCTGGGCACTGAGCTAGATACAACAATTAATAAGGCTTATAAGACATTGAATCCATCAGTTTCATACTTGCTAAATATCTACTCCCACCCCCAAAGGCACTAAGCTTCTACAGTTAGATATTCATAGCTGCTTCCTACTGACTTGAATCATGCATAAGTTATTAGTAAACAAACAATAAAAAGATTTGAGGCTGATGAGGGTGGGTTCGACAGCATGGTGGTGAAATGGAAAGAGATGGGTAACAGAATACGAACTAGAATTGAAAACTGTGAGCCAGTGCTCTCTAAAGAACATTAAAAAATAAAGAATTCCTATTTGAGGCTGCCAACCTCAGAACTAAGTTATTTAGAACGGAAAAAAATTGGCAAAGTCAGACGTACTCAGCCCAAGGAGCCAATATTTTGTGAATATTATGGCAAATGTAGTTTGAGAACCACTACCACAAAATTGTGAACCATAATAACGAGTGAGAAGGCAGGGAGAGGTTATACTATTTGGGCTAAAAGGAAAGATAGGACTTGTGAAGAGAGGACCAGTGAAAGTCAGTGTGGTCTGGGTATTTGGGTGGGGAATGGTAGCAGGAAGCTTGAGCTTCCTTTGCCAAGAGACCCTGGAAGGGCTAACATCAATTGACTTTAGCTCATCTTAGGATTTTCATGTTTTTGAAAATTTTCACAAGAACCTCCGCTCCATCTATACTTTCAATGTCTGCTTACCTTTCTTTCTTATACAACTTTGAACACTCTCTCCATTCATTTAAATATATTGTGGAGTGCCAACTACATACCAGGCGCTGTGCTAGGCTCTTATCCCACCTTTATTTGATTGCACATGCCTGCCAAGTCCTGGGCCAATATAACATCTACTCCTATGCCTGGTCAGGTGAGAGATGCAAACTCATCTTCCTCTAGTTTCCTAACCTCCTTCCTTCCGGTCTTCTTCAAGTTGTCTTCATTGAGGCAGTTTCTTTTACCTGTGTTTTTAATCCCAATTGCTCTAGTTTCCTTCTTGGCTTTATTCTTTTATCTTCTTCTTTGTGCTTTCAACCATTCCCTTTCTCCTGGCCCATGCCCTTCAGTCTACACAAGGCCTTCTCAAGTCTCTTCATTCTAAACAATTCATTTTCTTGGGTCTTATATTCTTCAGCTGCCACCCTATCTGTATCTTTCCTATTCTCCAAGTTCTCAAAGGAATGCCTTCCCTCATTTTCATCTCCTTACATTCCGTCTGCTGGAGTTTGGCTTGTGCCTGTACCTGTCTAAGGAAACTCCCTGCTAAGAGTCTGCTTTGTCAGGTCTGAATTCACTTAACCAGTCTTTGCTTTGTTGGACTTCTCTGCCCTATTTGCCATCCTTGATCATCCTCTCCGTAAAGTTTTCTACTTTCTTAAAGCATTTTACTTCCTTATTTTCTTGGTTTTCCTAGAATTTTCTTGCCGCTCATTTTCAGTTTCCTTTCTGTGTTCCTCTGATTGTCTCTCTTTCTACATTTTTTTTTTCTGTGTTCCTCTGATTGTCACGCAGGCTGAAGTTGGCATGATCGATCATAGCCTACTGCAGCCTCGACATCCTGGGCTCAAGTGATCCTCCCACCTCAGCCTTCCAAGTACCTAGGATTACAGTCGCACATCACCATTCTCAGCTAATTTTTTTAAAAAGCATTTATATAGAGATGGAGTCTTGCTATATCGTGCAGGCTGGGCTCAAACTCCAGGCCTTAAGCAATTGTCCTGCTTTGGCCTCCCAAAGTGCTGGGATTCCAGGCACGAACCACCATGCTCAGTCTCTACATGTTCCTAAAGAGGAGTTTTGAATATCGAAGAACAGTATTTTCAAATTACAGATTCAAGTTATAAAAACTGATATCCAGGGTTATGTGGCAATGACATAAAAATTTGAATTGTTTTTTTTTTTTGACACGTGTTCCGTGTTGTTCATCAGTTCACCTGAGTTCCAAATGTCCCAGCCGTTTTATGCTTTGTCTCTGTTTCCGAAAGACCCTGAGTGTGGTCTAGAGTTGGAATGAGCACTGGTCCCTAATGGTTCTGAAATAATTGTAAATTCCTGCAAAAACATTAAGTCTATTAGAGACCAGCTAATTTCATTTTGTCATTTTTCTAGGTAACATATTCTGGTGCAGGTAGTATGTTTTTAAAGCAAGTTTGCAATAAACAATTTCCCCTCAAGGTTAATATAATAGGCAACACCTTTTGTTGCAACAGACGGCAAGAGGTAATGAAAGATTAGCTTACATTATGATTCATTATTTCAAAATGTCAGGATAAAGTGGATCTGCTGCATCTCCCAGAGAGTGCATGTTTTGCTTTTCTAATGTTAATGGATTTACTGTTTTTTTCCCCCCCAGGCCAAATTCAGATAATCGACGCCAGGGTGGCAGAGAGAGATTGGCCAGTACCAATGACAAGGGAAGTATGGCTATGGAATCTGCCAAGGAGACTCGCTACTGTGCAGTGTGCAATGACTATGCTTCAGGCTACCATTATGGAGTCTGGTCCTGTGAGGGCTGCAAGGCCTTCTTCAAGAGAAGTATTCAAGGTAATAGTGTGTTGAAAACGACTTCTATTTTTGATCCTATGAGCAGATCCTAAGAGCCAAAGCGACTGAGGAAGGAAGACATAGAGTCAGCCATTTGTACAAAACACGAATCCCTAGTAGGTCCACTACTATCTTTGGTGGAAACGTGGAGAAGAGACAGGATCTCAGGAGAAGGAGTTGACACATGCCAGGGCAGCTGAGGCTGTGTAATTCTGCTTCCTTCTTTTGGCAAAACTCAAACAGTCTTGAGCAACTCTACAGAGGAATTCCACTAGCTGGATCTCTGAGGAAAAAAGAAATGTCTGTGCCCTGATTGGGGAATGCCAGATGGACATTCATGTTTGGTAGGCAACCTGGCCTGTATGATCTGGTATATGCTGCTAGTTGTCCATGCATAATTATCTCTCTACTCTGGCCTTGTCCAGGCAAATATTCTGTTTTGTTCTAGTTTGGCTTGTTCTCCCCTTCCTCTCTTCCATCTCTTTCTTGTCTCAATGGATGGCAGGACGTTTTGCTATGAGCTGACTCAGTGCCTGGTGTCTTGTAATGGGAGAGATATCATCTTTACCAAACAGTTATTAAGTATCTACCTGTAGCATTTCATTTTCCTGCCTGCCTCCATCTTTTCTTGTCTATAGTTTACCAATTGTAGCTAATATACTGTCAGCTATACATTATTTCTACTCCAGAAGTGTCTCTATTATTGCATTATAATAGGATACCCTGGGGAAACACTACTCATTTTTACTGCCTAAAATACCTATGCTAAATATCTTTTATCTGACAGGAACAGAGATCTGACAGCAGCTTAGGCTAACCAAATTCATTTTTTTAACTTAAGTGTGGGCCATTTTTCTCTCTTCTTATTCTTTACCTTTTCAGCTTAAGTGAAGGTTAGTATATAAACACTAAGAATATTTCTGTTGGGGTTTTCATGTGATTCCTTCTATAAAAACCCAGATTTAAGTAACTTGTTGAAAACCAGAGTCCGCTAAGTTAATAAGCATTGATCAAAGAAATTATTCTCATGGACTTTCTGTGATAGCTCTTTCCTGCCCTGATATGGGATGAAAGCTGGGGGATGGTACATAATATTTATTTTTCCTTCCATTGCCAGTGGGACTCTTTTTTTTTTTTTTTTTTTAAAAAAAAGCTGTTCATATCTTAATCGAGTAGCATGTGAGGTCAGCATGGTCTGTTTTAAAAGCATTTTCTTCAACCCATTGCTTTTAACATCTTTTAGAACTCTGCTCTAAGACACATGAACTTTTTTGTTGGTATTTTTATAAAATTAATGATATTCTCAATAGTAATCTTTGTCTGGGTGTGTATATATACATAAATTCTAAATGTAAGTTAATATATTTATTACTATTTTTCTAAACATAAATAAATAAATATATATATGCACACAGTCTATTTACTTCTATTAGATGATGCTATTTTAATTCAGAAAAAATGACATTTATATTTTGATTTAGGTTAGTATAAGCCCTTAGAGGTCTTTTGACAACTCTCTTAATTTGTGGTTTTACTGTTTATTTGATTTTATATAATCTAAACTATCATTGTTTTTACCAAGCATTTAATTTGGCAGTGAAAAAGCATCTGACAGAGGTATGGTTAGTAGATAGGTCTAACTGCACAATTGGATGGATTGATCTGAGACTGTTTCCTCATCAGTAAAAATGATTTGAAGCAGTGGTGGGCAAAGTTTTTCTGTACAGAGCCAGATAATAACTATTTTAGGCTTTACAAGGGCCATACAGTCTCTGTTGCAGCTACTTAACTGGATTATAGCCTGTAAGGGAACCTGTAAACACATGGAAGTGATTATGTGCTAATAAAACTTTATTTATCAAAATAGGTAACAGACCAGCCCTAGCCCATGGCTGGTCCCTGATTTTAATGTTTATTTTTCTGATCTAAATACCTTTATTTATGGAAGAGAATAGGGGATTTTTAAATCTAAAGTTTTGATTATTCACGTTTTACTGAGAACTTACTCTACACCTGATTAGATGTTCTGAGAGAAATAATAAAAAAAGTGTAAGACATAATCCATAATCCCACAAAATTTAGAATTTATTTAGGAAATTTATTTGGGGAAGTAAATGTACTTGTTCTCATGATACAATCAGAAAGTACGTCAGTATTGATAAAGTCCTACCTGTATGACAAAGATAAGGAAAACAATAGAGGGATGTAAGAAATGAAAATATCAGTTATAAATTAAAATTATTAAGATTGAAAGTGGAAATGATCTTCCTCCGAGAAACAATGGCAATACTCTCACAATTTTTTTGCATCGTTTTTATTCAGCATATATTTATAAAAATCAATGAATATAATGTGAGATATTTCATTGGTATGGCATTATCTCAAGTTCAAATATTTTGAAAAATTTCTGCTTACTCTTTCATAGTTAAAAACAAATATCTCGGCTGGCTTAGTGGCTCAGGCTTGTAATCCCAGCACTTTGTGAGGCTGCGGTGAGCAGATCACAAGGTCAGGAGATCAAGACCATCCTGGCCAACGTGGTGAAATCCCATCTCTACTAAAAATACAAAAATTAGCTGAGCGTGATGGTGCACACCTGTAGTCCCAGCTACTTGGGAGGCTGAGGCAGGATAATTGCTTGAACCTGGGAGGCGGAGGTTGCAGTGAGCCAAGATCGCACCACTGCATTCCAGTCTGGTGACAGAGTGAGACTCCGTCTCAAAAAACAAACAAAACAAAAACAACAATAACAAACTCTTATCTCCGTCTTGTATACACAGACCAGCTAGTAGAATTTTACTGAAACTTTAGCATATAAAAATGCAATTCCCACTTGGTTTCAGAAACTTCTCATGTCATAGTGTGAAGTCACTTATCTTAGGTTTTTAAAATGGAATGAATGTTGAGTCCAAAGTTCTGGAAGAAGTCTAAAAAGAAGGCAGACTTATTAACTTTTAGATATAGGGAGGAAATTTAAAACCATTCAGTTCTTCATTCATTCATTTATTCATTGACTAGCATTACTAGCAAAGCCCTGTGCAAGACACTGGAAATGCAATGATAGAAAAACCTGGGCCTATCCTCATAAAACTAGTGAGGTAAAGGGGGATACAGACTAATGAACCAGCAATTAGATGATGGTGCCAAGATAGAGGTGAAGGCAGCATCTTATAGGATCCAAACTCCACTCAGTCCTGGTGGTTGTTGAGTCTGGCTCTCAGAGGTTTCCTGATTAAATCTGGAGGGTGAGTCAAGGGAGCATGGTGAAGAAGGAGGGAATGCATGTTCAGCCATGTGAATGAGTCCATGAGTGAAGACCAGGAAGAAAGGCAGAGCCTGGGGAATTCTTTGCATAAAAATTAACATAATTAATGTACTGTTAAACAAAGACATTTCTGGGCCATGGATTTAATTCTAGACTGTGTAAAAACCAAGTAATTGATTTCCTTTATACTTTAAAAGCATTTCCATGTATTTGATTTGTTTGTATGTATAAAAGGGAAATACCAGAGCGAGTTTAAGGGTTTCTAGTTCTGCTTTCTCATCATAGTCTTGATAACTTGGATCTAAAAAGTTTTTGCTGAAATTGTCTGTGACTCTTTATAAATCACACTGCCCCTCAAACACATTTAAGGATGGTGAAGGGTCTGACACGTAGGTGGGAAGTTCTGAAGATGCCGCAGCTCTCCCTGTTTTCCTTGTTACTTAAGAAGAGAGCTAGAAATGAGTGTACATCAGATTATTCTCGTGTTCTAAGTGTTTTGGTTGAAGAGGTAAAGTGTTTGGCTTGAAAGCATACAAATTTTCATCCACTACTTAGTGTACAAACTTGATTACTTAAGAGATTGAGTAATGGCCTCCAGTGAAACGCATTCTTTTTAAAAAGCAAAGTGAAGGATGCTATTTAAGTCAGAAGCGGCGAAATTGGATATTTTATGAATTTATTAATCATTGCAGGCAGAGAAGTAGTGTTCCTTAAGATGTGCTTTAGACAGAGTCTCTGGGATGAGTTATATAAGCAGATCTGGTTGTAGCTTCAGCAGCCAGATACTACCTTTGAGTATTATTTCAAGGAAAAAGGACTCCACTGAGCTCACTGCTTCTCTTTCATTATTATTTCAGAAGGTTGTGTGGCACAGAGGGGGCTCAGGCCTACCTATATACCACTAGCTATGTTGCCATTTTATATTATTTTTATAAGGTGCCAACAGAAGCTGCTCATCGGATCAGACAGACGTGGCCCAGGCGGGTGTTGACTTACAGGTGATCTTTGGCCAGTAAGACATGGTATCAGGGTAGAGTCTGGTTATGGGTCAGTGCAGCGGGGACCTTAAGTCCTACAAGTATAACTGAGAGCCTGATCCACCAGGCCTTAGAAAGCTTCAGGGTGAGACAGTCCAGCACCCTGGATAGCTCCTTTAACAGCTGCGGCCGGTAAGCAGGCACTTATTTGCTAAAGAACTCGCCCATTTGGCTGGCTTCATCTGCTTTGTAGAGCTCTGTTAAAAGAGATCTTAGTTCTTTTGGGCTTGGGGACTCACTCTTGTTCACTCAAAGTAGATTAGTTCTTACATTTATTTTCACATTTGTGTCTGGTCACCTTCTGGCTTGATGTGTGCCCCTATGTCTGGAAAAGGTTAGAGAATGGGGTAGAAGTGGAGGCTGCCCTTCCATCACGTAGCTGTTTTATCTTTTCAGAGATACAGTTGGGATCCTAACCCTTTGGCCTCTGTATTTCCACACTTGCTCTTCTACAATTCAGTTTCCATACAACATCAGGGGAGATATTTTAGATATATTAATCCGATCCTATGGTCTGGAGTTTACAGCTCTTAGTGTAAATCTTACTCTCAAGAGAAAAATTTTCCTTCTGCAGATGGAAACATTTGACACATTCTCACTCTTGTTCCTTCTCCCCTACTCACTGTATTCCAGGCACACTGGCTTTTTTTTTCTTTGCTTGGAATACCCAGATCTTTACTTGGCTGGTTTCTTGTCATTCAGAC